AGGAGGACTCTCAGTATCTATATCTCTCTATATATGTTGCCTCGGGATCTTATTTTCAGGAACTATAATATTAGTTTTCACTCATATGCTGACGACACTCAGATCAACCTTCAGCTAAAGAGAAACAGTTCTGCTTCACTAGAACCTTTATTTCAGTGTCTCGTGATCGTTTTTGGTTGCAAAGTTGCAATTCTAGAACCTCACATTTTAATTTGCACAGTTTAGAACTTTTTATCAAATTTCATGCTAAAAATTTGGGGGTTATATTTGACAATAAGTTCACTTTTGCGAAACAGTTTAGTTGTACAGTGGTCTTTCTTTAAACTGAGGCTTTTATCCAAGGTGAGATCTTTTTTGTCTTTTAAAAACCTAGAATGGGCAATTCATGCTTTCATCCTATCCCAACTGGACTGTTGTAATTCTTTATATGTAGGCATTAGTCGGCCTTGTCTTGCAAGGCTCCAGCTGGTCCAGAATGCCGCTGCTCGTCTTTTGACACAGATGAAGAGAAATGAACATATCGCCCCTGTGCTTACCTCGCTTCACTGGCTCCCTGTACGTTTTAGAATCAATTATAAAATCTTATTGGTTATAAATCACTGAATGGACAGGCCCCATGGTATCTGTCAGATCTACTGCAGCCTTATATGCCCCTTAGAGCTCTTAGATCGGGTGATCTTTTGCTCTTGGCCACACCAAGGTCGAGGCTGGTTCTTAGAGGTGATCGTGCGTTTGCAGTTGTGGTGCCTACATTGTCGAATGATTTGCCTCTTCACATTAGACAGGCTCCTACCCTCAATCTTTTTAAATCCTATCTTAAAACACATTTCTACTTACCTGCTTTTAATACTGCACGAGAGTTATTTACTTATTTATTTGTTATTAGCTATTTGGCATTGATGTTAATTGATATTGCTATTTTATTGCGTGCTATTTTATTATGTAATTTATATGTTTGTACAGCACTTTGGTCAACACCACTGTTGTAATTAAAAGTGCTATATAAATAAATGAACTAAACTAAACTAAACTAAACTAAACTATCTGTTTAGCGTCTCCCTGTGATAACATCCCACAAGCTTGCAAACTGGTGACAGGAGTGCTCTTACTCTACTAAAGTGAGAAAGTGATATTACTATAACTATGCTTGTTTAGTAAAATCACACAAATCTTTCAGCCATTCATGGAGAAGCGCCTGAAGATCCAGGACACGTGTGGAATCCACAACCTCCACGCTATGCCAGGAGTTGTAGGTGGCATTGTGGGAGCCATTACAGCTGCATCTGCATCTGTTGAAGTTTATGGCCATAAGGGGTGAGTTTTCCTTGACTACAAAAAGGAAACATTCAGCTAGACATTATGGCTGTGTTTACCTTTTCAAATTAATGGCTTAAAGAGGAAAAAACAGTTGCAATACCTGTATTCTTTTCATTGAGCTCCCCCCCCTTTTTTTAAAAAAAAAAGGCTGGAGAACACCTTTGACTTTAAGGGTAAATTCGAAGACATGGTACCCACAAGGCAGGGCGGTCACCAGGCAGCGGGCCTCTGTGTGGCGTTGTGCTTCGGTATAGGTGGAGGCATCATTGTTGGTGAGGAAATCAGTTTGACAGAATATATACACGTGTTAAAAACTGCTTTTCAGACAGTGATTATAATGACTTCGTTTTTCTCTTCCTATTAGGCGCTATCTTAAGGCTACCTATCTGGGGAGACCCTGCAGATGACAACTGCTTTGATGATGAGACCTACTGGGAGGTGAGAGATAAATCTTAACATCCTTACATTTATGAGGATGTAAGGATTTGCGATGTAAAATCAGAATTCAGTCGCTATTTCAGCACACAGAAAGTTTTAGGATGCACAAAAAGAAAAAAGCTTTATTGATATCCCTGAGTGGCATTTTTAAGATATTTAACAAATCCTGATGAATTTTATTAAATGGTCATACCTATTTTTGAAGCACACGTTTGATCCAATGTGTATATAAATTGACGAAGAGATTTTAAATTACAGTCTTGGTTTAATGCTACTTGTAGAAACATTTGTTGTTGTGTTTTGCTCATTCTGAGGCTGTTTCTCCAACCCAGCGTTAACATTTGCAAATAGTCTGCCGTCATTCACTCTTCTTCTGGTACAAAAATCCAATTTACTCTTTAACTTTTCCCCAAATTTAATAAGAAACCGTGAAATCAGATATTCTGACGCTAGTTGTTCATATGCTTGTTATCTTCCTGAGATCACAATGTTTGCCTTCTAATATCAACAGGTCCCAGAGGAGGAGGAGAGCATCCCAACAATCCTGCAGTACAACAACCACGTGCAAAACAAAGATATGTAAGTGTCTCCTTCTTTTATCTGTCTAGGATTTGTGCTGTTTTCATACCAAACTAACGATGCAGTCATTGCCTTTTGTTGTTCAAGACTGTAGTGCATTCAGTCTCCTCTCGATGGCAGCACAGCACAGTTTTGGGATTATTCACACATCTTCATGTAACTCCTGACATTGTGTGAGGGATATATTCTCAGGGTGTTGAATACAGTGTAATCAGGAGGTGAGGTGGCGGATAACATGACACCTCAGAGACATAGACGTCTCCTACCACCCCTAGGTGTGGGTTTAATCATAAGATGCTAACGCAGATGCTGTTGCTCTATGCTGCTAAGTTAACCTGTGCTCTCTGTTGATACGGGGTTTTCCACAGAACTGCTTCACATGGTTAACTCTTCAATGTGACCTTGAAGTTATGCAACAACAGTCATGTTTATAGTAGAAACAAAAATGCAACTAGTAATTATTTTTTGGAATCTGCTTAGTAGATTTAATATGTAATGACCACATGAATGTCTTCAGGCCAGATCTTGTAATTCGTGAAATTTGGTTTTCTAGCGCCGAGTCAAATTTCACCATGGAGTCGGAGTCCAGGGCTCGATCTTAATGGACTTCTGCCTTGTTTCCAATCATTCTCCCACTGGACAAAAATGTTCATTTCGTGCAATTAATGACCACTTGTCAGCACCAGCTATTTTTCATACGGTGATATGTTTGTCAGTATGTTATGACTGAATTGTGTTTCAAAATCTCGGTTTTTGTTTGAATTAAAAACTACTAGAGGAGTAATGTATCTTCTGCTAGCTGAACACATTATTCCATTTAAATCAGCTGACAGTAGGTCAAACATTCAGTGGGGGGAATTACCTTGATTTGCCTCATTTCAAAGTAAAGAGACCGGTAAATTGACTTGTGTAAATTCTCGTGTCGCTTGCAATAATACCTGTAAAGCTGATTAAACTACTCAAGAGAAAAGTTTTGTCTTATGCTTTGAACCACGTTGCGATGCATTTGTAGAATCTCCTATTTAACATTTCTCCTGATCCAAATCTAAATGATTTTGGTCTGTGTGATGTAATGAACTGCAGGTAAAATCTCAGAGTACACAACTTTTAGACAAACCTTTCTGTCAGCTTCCTTCATTGTCTCATTAGTTACATCTGAAAATGATGTTTCCATTAGATGCATTTGAGTAGGGTTTTTTGTTTTTGGTGTGTGTATCTTCATGGAGAATTTTTACAATGAGACGGGTATTAATCTTGATACTGATTGATTTAGACCTAAGTTATCTGGTGACATTAAAGGAAATAAATGAATACATTTGGTAACGTGTTATCACCACCCTCTTATCAAGCATTACAAAGAATGATGGAAATGTAAATATGTAAGCACACATGAGGAATTTTATAAAGTTAATGTGTTGTTCTTCTTCCCTTCGTGCAGCGGCCTCTTCTTATGAGTACTTTTAGAGTTAGCAACAAATACATTAGTCAGCACCTTTTTGATTGTTGGATGATTCCAGCTTGTCACAATTTGCTAATGGTAAAATAGGCTATAGAAGGAATGTGTTACCAGATATGTTTATTGATATTACTGATCTGAAAATTGGTTTTGTCAGAAGTTGATATTTGTATTCTTAAACGTTCTACACTGATTGTATTGATCGTAATGTAATTTTGGAAATTAAAAGTTATTAAGAAAGTGTACAATGTCCTATGCTTGCTTTGTCTGTATGTGAATAATTAAGTTTGGATATATTTAGCAATTAAATAAATGTTTGAAGCGGTGCACTTGAAATACGAATTTAAATGTGAGAGGGACTGTACCTCCTTCAACGGCTCCTCTTAAGTGGCGATGCAACTCAGGGTAAAGGTCGCACTCTTATTGCTCTCCCGGGACACTCTGGTGACCAAAACAAACTAGAGATCAGCCATATGATCTTGACCTCGTGTCACAAAAGGGCAATATCCCTGACAGGGTTGAACACACATGCCGGAGTTAATTATTTTGAATTCATTTGGAGAATTTCTGTGAAGTCATAGATATTCCATATTGGTATTATTTTTTCCACATGGATGGGTAAAAAAAATGCACAAGTGTGGGTTGGTCATGCAATAAATGTTAGACGATGCCTAGTCTGTCTACAATTGCTAAATATAGCATTGATTTGTGCATCGTCTATCCTTCATTTTCTGATGAAGGCTGGATTCACACATGCTCTGTCTTCTGCCCACACGTCTGTGGCATTTCACTGGTTGAAGGCGGCAGCGGCAGCAGCAGCAGCAGCACCAGCTCATGGCGGGAGTGTGGATGATTCCCACACATGAGTAGCAGCAAGGAATCCATCTCCTCATCCAGTCTCTTTGCTGACAAAAGCAGGCTTAGCGCTGTTTTCTTTTGTCATCAGTAACGTGTTTGAGTAAAGGAGGTAATGGTGCCACAAGTGCTCCAATTAAACGAGATGCAGCCCTGCTGGGAAGAAAGGCTCCCCCATTGCCCCCGATACCCCCCTATAATACATACACGCACACATGTGCACACACCCATACACAAACCTCAGCTCTTTTCATGCTACCCCCATGCAGTTCCCGCCCCAACTCTCCTCATGTTTATTCATCAGCCACTTAAAGGGCAAATGCAGAGGCCTGTTAAAACTAAATCAGGCTTACTTTTAAATGATGCCACGCCGTCCCCTCTGAGGTTAAGGCAGCCGGACCTTAGGGGCTTCCCAAATTCAGCATTTAAAGAAGGTCCTTCGGATGGACGCTGGCCACACGTTCATTCCAGAGAGCAAAGTGAGAAGGTGAGATGGGGAAAACCTTTGGGGGGCATGAAAGAGGGAGGCATGGACAGAGAATGAGGCCTCACTTTCATTGCTGATGACCCACTGCCTGCCATCCAGGCTCAATCATGATCTCTGATTGACAGGTGGAGGGAAGGAGAGGGTGGGAACAGAAGGAGCTTAGAATGAGAGCTGCACAAAACGTACTCCCATATAGGGGGCCGTGGAGATGCTCATTAATGATAAAGAACATACCAGGCAAAGCATGTTTTCTCTGCATGCCAGCAATGTTGTTTGTTGGTTGAGATTAGTTTGTAATCTCCTAAAATGTACAGAACACTACGTTGGTAAAACACAACGTGGGAGGTCGTGTTGGTGCACCTGATTGTGGACATTTAGCTTTTAGTTCTGCAACCCGAAACCCTTTTTGTTGTATTTTTCATTTCTTGATGAAACATTTCAAATGTTTTCAGTTAGTGAAAGGTCTGAACTGCAGGCAGGCTAGTTCAGCACCTTCTGTTACAAAGCTATGCTGTTGTAATAGATGCTGTATGGCTTCTTTGCACGATGGGGCTTTAACTTGCATCTGTGGATGGCACAGTGAGCTGTGTTCACTTACAAAACTTTCTGGAAGTGTTGCTGACTCCACACAGTGATTTCCATGACAGAATCGTGTATGTTTTTAATGCAATGCTGCCGGAGGGCCCGAAATTCGCAGGCATCTAATACCGATTTTTGGCCTTGACCCCTTGCGGACAGAGATTTCCCCAGATTCTCTGAGTCTTTTGATATTATGCACTGTAGATGATGAGATGTTAAAAGTCTCCACAATTTTACGCTGAGGAAAATTATTCAGAAATTGTTTTACAATTTGTGGAAACAGGGTTTTTTTTCTGAAGCTTGGGCCATATTACTTGCCTCTCTAAGATGTTCTATTCATACTCAGTCACATTACTGACTCATTGCCAGTTAACCTAATTAGTTGCAAAATGTTTCACCAGCTGTTTGTTTTTAGTAAGACTTCCCTTCTAGCCTTCGGTTGCCCCCAGCTTTTGCTGCCATCAATATTTTTTAATTAAAAAGTAAAATATCTTAGTTTAAACATTTGTTTGTGAATAAAATATGGTAATATGAGGTTGGCAAATAATTGCATTTAGTTTTCATTTACTATTTACACAGCATAACAGCTTTTTTGAAATTGGGATTGTATTTGTTTTTGCCACTGCTCAAACCAAACAGCACAATATGGTGATTTTTTTTTTATTTCTGTGTGTTCATGGGATTGTTTTATAGATATAGATACACGCCATGCACACTGCAGTAAAACCTCAATGAATTCCCTTTATAGTTACAAGCACCTACAGTGGTTAGAGTAGTATTCAGGAATCTATGTTCACTCTCTTATAGAGAGAGCTGTAAAAGCCCTTTTGAAAGCAACCACGAGTCCATAAAACTGTTCATAAACTATTCAAGCCCTTAGTCTTTTCTCTCTGTGCCTAATCTGCTCACATTCTGTTTGCAGTTTCCGTGTCCCCTAAAGGTGATCTCACAGCAGGCATTTCAAAACTTTCCTGACCATTAGGATCTGGACTGTCTTTGTGATGTCTAATCCTGGGACTAATTGAGTCCTATATTTCCCACCATCACTCCTGTCCAATGTTTTCCTTTGAGGTATTTTCAGCTTTTTTTTTTTTTATTCCATTACATTTGAGAGAGAGTGGCATGTTCCAGAATGAGTTTGTAATTTTTCTTGCAAAAAAAAAAAAAAGTTTAGTCGCTTCCTGATTTTGGAAATTATCACTTGGTTATATTAGTGGCACATGTTGTGCAAGCCCAGGTAAGGTGGACCTGTGACTGAAGTGATGCTGCCAGGCTCTCATCAAGTTCACGTCTTTACTCAAGGGTAAATGTCCCTTATGAAAACAGATTTTGGCCAGATTTGTATTTGGCAGGGCGATATAAAGTACTTCACAAGCAAAATATTAGTTACATACAAATGTATCAGTACAAACAAACTATTGTTGTTTTATAACAATGTATGTATTACAGGGTATCTTGTTTTGGAAATATGACCAGTTCCTACTTTTCCACCAGCTCCTTGAGGAGGAAACATTTTCCTGATAATACTTATTTATTCATTTATTTTTTTACACAGGCAAGAATACTGGACTTTAAATGTACTTGTTATTGAGTTTTCTTATAATGTTGTTTATTTAAATTATGCTAAATAATTGTCTTTGGACTATGCCCATTAGTGTTTGCAGCCTGCTCTTGAACCTCCCAGTTTTGCCCACTGTAGGTTTCTCCAGGCCTCCCCACGCCACAGAGGCTGCTTAAGTGTCCCTATCGGACCACAGTGGAGAGGAACAGCAGATTAACCATGATCCTATCCGCTCACCGCTAGCCCCTTCATACGCTCCGTTACACCAGCATTTAAAAGGAGGAGGGGACACCATTCAGGCCCGTGATATGAATCCCAGACGTGGGGACAAGAACAGAGCTTTCACCCCTGTCTCGCAGCAAAGACCTCTTTCTGGCACCCTCTAATTCTGGTTGCTATGGGCTCCTGGGTTCAATGGTGGACTCCCGTTGTGAGGGGACAAAGCCTCTCAGTCATCCGGCGAGGGTTGCCAGGGGAGGCTGAATGTATGGGGAGGGACAGGCTGCCGTTGTCCCAGACGAAATGTCTCTCTTAAGGCGGCTGAGATCTGGTGATTGACAGGTGGCTACACGCTCCACTGCAGATCACCCGGGAGGTCTGGAAGGGGCCTTATAGCTGTGACCGTGAATGCGTGGTTGTGTGTCTGCAGAAGTGTGTGTCTATGGCAGATTACACTGGCAGGGAGAACACATGAGAAGCTATAAAAGTGTCACCGTTGCATACCTGAAGAGGGAGCTGCTTCTGCGCCTGCATGTTCATTCACCCTA